TGAACCATTCAGACCTTGCTAACTTAATGCACCGATGAAACAACTCAATTACAAAATGTCTCCTATGGAAAACGGTNACATATATATATATATATATATATATATATATATGTGTGTGTGTGTGTGTGTGTATTTATTTATTTCAAATGGCAGGCGTTTTGATAGTTATCATTAGCCTCTTAGCTAACTTTGAGCTTCTCAGAGGAGGAGGAACATCAAAATGAGAAAAAAACGAGATGAGGGGGGGGGACAGAAGAGTGTTTCAAAGATGTAAAAGAGCCGGGCAAAAAGGTAGAAAAAAGTGAGGTGGAAACTGTGGAAGTAGTCGTATATGACATACAGTAGTACCATTATAGCTTGAAATCAGAAGTCAACTGCCGAATAATAGACTTTTTTGTCGTATGAGAATACGTTGCCCAGGTTGCACCACGTGGAGGTAAGTTTATCGCACTCCCCGTAATGAATATATAAATGTGCAATAACTAAAGACATTCAGCTTACCAAAACCTCTTTTTCTTTTTACAAAGTCAAATAAATGTCTACGATAAACCATATTGTTCCAATGTGGTCAAATTCAAAATGATAAATAACGATATTAGAAAATCGATGCATAATTAATATGATCTTGTTGTTTACACACTATTTGAAGGTGTATTAAATAGGTAACAGATATTCAACAGCGATAGGACGTTGTGCCCAGTAACTATTCATAAAAGATATATTGAGGGAACGCGAATTTTGATAAACCCGCGCTCAACAAGACCATGGAATCTGGAAACTAATTCGTTGAATATATCCCTGGGTGATTCTGACATCCCAGTGATTGAAATCAGCAGAACTTCAGGAATGAAGCTGCAGCGGATTGATACACAACTAAAGCCCTGAATGACTCAGATATCTCCATCAGCAGTGCTTCACTTATCAGTTCGTTGCAATAGGGGAAAAAGACAGAGAAATGAAGTGGTACGAGAACAAAAAATGAAGGAAAGGTATGAATGGAACTACTTACAAACCGATGTCTATCTAAACCTCAGAAAAAGGGGATAAGGGATAATTTAAAGCTTTGCACTTAACCACAAGTTTAGTTCTGTGTAAATTGCTAAGTAAGCGCAAAATTCGTTTGAGGTGTAATAAATATTTAATATTGATTATCTCATTTCAGTAGTGTTTCCTTTATAATATTAAGCTATTTTAAACCGTTATCTATCAAAAAACCTCAGAAAAATCAGGAATGCAATATTTTTGTCCATAAAGTCCGAAACTTTGCACTCAAACACAAATTCAATTCTGTTTGAGTTGCAACATTTGTGCAAAATTCGGTGAACCCAAGGCACAAAAGGTGAGATGTGACAGATATTTGATCCTAACTGTCTCATTTCGGGTAGTATTAGCTTCGAATAGCGTGATATCTGCAATAAGCATTCCCACAGTTTTATCCATTGTCCCAACAGGTAAATCCGTCCCAAAATCTGGACCCGTAGGAACAGTGTAAAAAATGTGGGATGATTAAATGGGCTTCAATATCATTTGTTTGCATTGGCGGTGGCACACTAATGAATTCTTGAAAAATAAGTTAAATCTTAGCCGACATTCCTCTTACCTGTATAATTTTTAAAAGAACTTTCGGTATCACGATCGTCATATTTTTTCTAAGAATTTCGTGCGATTTTCGAAGTTGTGAATATTTTAGATTCATTCTAGAACACTAATACAGAGGTAAACAGAGAAATTGTTCAATTTCATTAGATATTCTATCTATTAACCGTCTGCAATCCCAATTAGAAAGTCATAGCCGCAAATGGAGAAAGTTTAGTAAATTCAATTGCTTCTGGTATGACTAGTCCCACCACTAGAAATCTCAAGATTTCCGGTGTCTCTAGCTCAATAAACTGTCAGATTGTATAGACTCAATATTTCAACCAGTTAATTAAGGAAGAAATTCTCGAGTTATTGCTTTTTAAATCTCAATTAGTGGTGTTTATATCAGTGATTTAATATTTTTAGCCATTCACAATTTAAAGATATTGACTTTAAAATAAGCAAAGTATTATGCGTACTTTAATGCATAAATTAATATTTACCTTGAAAGGATTTCCGCCACTCCGACTTGGGGGTCTTAAACCCAAAAATGAAAGAATTATTTCCAGAAATATTCGTCTAAGCCACCAATCCGGAGTAGACTGTGTCTCCATCGATCTGAAACGAACATTCAGCACAGCCACTGTCCAAAAAATCGATGAAGTAATTAGCACAATCGTAAATAGCAGGTACTTTCCCATCAACGGTACAGCAAGACTAGTTCCCGGCGCAGTTCCGGAAATTAGAAGTAGAAAGTAAAGTGTCAGTGCTAGGAGGGCATTTATTGTCAGCGAGATCTTCTCTCGACAATCAGGGGGCAGAATGAAGGTCATTACGGCGAGAATAGCAACTCCAACACAGGGCAAGAGGAAATTGAAGGACTAAAAGGTGCAACGGCGGCACATTCGCAGTTGAATGTAATTTCTGGGTAGGGATGAATTGAATGCTGGTAGAAGTTATTTGCGCAAATTGCAAATTGCTCGACGGTGCTTTCGAAATCATGAAGTTCTGCAGCGTAGTCTATGTATATTGGTCGATGGAACTCGGGAGCAAACTTTTGAAGGCGATGGTGATGTTCAACCGCCATGGATAAAAAAAATTAAAATTTTAAAAATAATTGCCTTTTTAGCGAGCGCGTTGCCTCATACGGACTTAATCTGCAACCTTAAATTAGTAGGTGAACTAACACTGCTATTTATAGACTAGATGGTCAAGGTAGAAGAGTCACGCTGAGATGTGGTGTTTTTGTATTCATTCTCATGATGAACAATTTCAACACTCGTTGTGGCCTCTTGAGCTTTTTATATGCTTTTATTTACAATACGCCACATTTACTACTTTAATGGCAAATATAATGCTAATTTAAAAGTCCTTTTCGAATAGCGACTCCTTTCATTCTAATCTCTGTAGGCTGAGAATTTAGTGAACTCTGTTCTTTGTCTATAATACGTGGCAAAAGTATGCAAAATTATTATGTTTTGCCCATTTTGGATAACGTCCTCACTCTAATTTTGCTCGATTAGAGTTGAATATCTATTAGAGTATTTACGCTAAGCATCTCCCATACCACCAAATGCGAAATTGAAGTTTCGCTTGATTTTGTGTAATTGATGATAGATCAGTGAAAGGAAAATAGGAAATAGGAAACATTGTCTAATACCTAATTAATATATGGGGGAAATACACATTCCTAATATGATTAAACTACGCACTTGAGAACTTTGGAGATGTGTCTGTGTCTCAGTTAGTCGATTATTATGATTGTTCAAGCTACTATGAATGAACTCAATTGCTAATCATGTTTTCTGTGATCAGTAATTCCAATGACTTACCTTGATGTGCCTATTTTGAATAGACGTTCTTGATTATCACTTTCAACACCATTGGTGTCCATATAACCAATACCCACGACTTTAAAACCTGAATAATTCAATAGTATCGAAATAATTTATTCATATCAAATGGTTGGAGTTTTGATAGCTACCATTAGCTCTTTAGTTGAATGCAGGCTTCACAGAGAGGAGGAGGAGGCAAATCAACGTAAAAAATGTCGAGATGGGTGGGGGGGCGGGAACAGGAATATTTCAAAAACAAAGGTAGAAAAAAGATGAGGTGAGTACTGTGGAAGTAAGGGAATATGAAATGCAACAAAGGTAGATGAAAGGTGAGGTGAGTACTGTGAAAGTAATAGAAGAGCGATTCACAGATGTAAAAGAGACAGACAGGCAAAAGGTAGAAAAAAGATGAGGTGAGTACTGTGGAAGTAGTCAAATATGACATACACTGGGGTGATGGTAGTTTGAAGTGAGGAGTCAACTGCCGTTTAATAGACTCTTTTGCAATATGAATATACGTTGCCCAGAGTGCACCACGTGGAGGTAAGTCTATCGCACACTCTAGTATCGAAATAGGAATGTTGAGCAAATATGTGCTATTGAGTGATTTCAACTGTTATAAAAGAACTAGTGAAATTTGGAATTGATAAACTCGAATCCTTTTCAATCGTTTTACAAACTCCCTTGGGAAACATATACTTGCAGCCTAAACGCATTGCACTAAGGTCTATTTAAATCCCATTTTCGAAACCCCTTAAGGACATGCCTGAAGGCTGGACAATATCAGTAAGTGAACTGTGCATTTTATTATCCGTGGCAAAGAATAATAGCTTTCATCTCAACCCTACTTCTATTTACGCAGTCAAAATCATGATGACTAATTTTGAAGTGTGAATTAAAATCATTTTGGAACTCACCTTTCACAATTGGAATTCGCATTTGTAAAAGTTACATTGGCAATCGCAAATATTTTATTTGTTTAAGTAGCGTCTACGAGAATTTGGACATATTGACTAGTGCCGAAATGGTACGAAGAGAACCAGAAATGTCCCCACCATATTCTTATTTCCGTTTATAAATAGTGTCTTGAGCGAAAAAGAGCCTTTGAATTGATTGGTTTATATTACAACACTGATGAGTAAATATGTCAATACCCCTATTCAAGCAAAATTACTTTTTTACTACAACTGAAGTCTAGCATTAACACTGGCCTAAAATTTAACCTCGTCGCACGCGATAATTACCTAAATATAATATCCAACCATTTCATACGCATCTCTTCCTCGATTTTTAGAAATTC